TCTGTTCCCCTAGGACACGGGTTTCAGAACCTCCTGAACAAGCTGTCCAGGGGCAGGTGGCCTGCGTGCAGGTGGCCTACCTGCCTGGCGTGGCCCCTGGTTTTGTGCCCATCTCCGTGGTTTGGGTGGGGAGCTGAGGGCCTTTGTGGGTCTTTGCTTAGCACCACAGGATAGGGAGGGCTGCATCAAGCCATCCATGCTCCCCAGCCTCTCATCAGCAGTGGGCTCTGATGATGCTGAGTTGGTTGGAGCACACAGAGCAGGAGCCCAAGGACCCCAGACTCCTTCCTGGGCAGAAAGCCTGTGAGGGGAGGCAGTGCTGGTGTGGGGAGGGGTTAGGGGCTTTGAGGCAGGCACCCTGTAGGCAGAGCCCTGCCAGGTGGGGCTTAGGGAGTGTATGGGGTGGGAGGGGCCTCTGGCTTCGGAAAAGCAGGACCGCCAGGCAGGCAGGACCTTTATTGCCCATGAGTAACTGCAGTCAAGGGTGACTTTGGACTTTGAGGGTGGTGGGAAGATGGGCTGAGGGGGAGGCCAGTGGGGTGGAATCTGGCCTTCACTGCTACACCTGGAGCAGTTCTGCTCAGGACAGGTGGAGCTGGTTAAGGACAGGAAGGTGGCAGCCAGGACTGGACGGCTAATTATAGCCAAGTGGCTCCTTCCATAGTTACCCATGCAGGCTGCCCTGCTCAGTGTGCGAGGGTCCAGGGACCTGCAGGGCTGTCCCTTACTGCAATTGGAGTCTTGGCTCCTGCCACCTTTGGGGTAGAGGCCCCAGGCCCTGCAGACATGACCTCTAGCCAGTGTTCTGCTGCTGCAGGTCCTTGTCCCTGGGTAGGGCGGGGCTCTGTGCCAGGAAAGCCCTTGTGACCCCCATGCTGCCCATGAGCAGATGTGCCTCCCCTGGTGCAGTTGGTAAATGCAGAGAATCAAGTTCAGCGTTGGCCAGAGCATGAGTCCCCTCTGCCTCAGTGGTCAGGTCACCTGTGGATAACTCAGATGTGCAGGAGGGCCTTCTGAGCACATGCACTTCCCCCGATCCCCCACTGGTAAACTAAATCCCAGGCAGGCAGTGCCATATAGTAGGTGGCCCCCCAAAAGTTCCCCCGGCGGTGCTACATGTCACCCACCCATCAGTGGAGCCCCCAGGAAGCACCTCCCCTGGGTGTCTCTGGTTCCTCCTGTGGATGGCTCCCACCTGGTCAGGGAACAGGGTCCTCCTCACCTCTGGACCAGAAACTCCTTGAGGGCAGAACTGAATCTGTGGGCTCCATACTCCTTAGTGGCTCCCCCTTTACTCGTTTGGGATAGAGGGAGCTGTCATCTGTTCCCTGGGGATGGCAGATGGCCGCTTAGCTTAGAAAGGAAAACAGCACAATTTAGAATTAGTCCCGGGTGAAAGGTCGCGGCAACATCTGCCTCCGGATGCTTTCTGGGGTCGCATTTCTGTGGAGTGCGGAGTACGCCGGGGAGGAGGGGGGCCTCGCACAGTGGAAACATTGAGGCTGGGAACAAAGCGCTGGCCGGGCTGTGGGACAACAGGCACGGCAGCCATTTGGCACTCCTCTGGGTGGGCAGGCAGGCGGCTGCCGGAAGCCCAGCCCCTCCAAAGCCCGGATTCCGGAGCCCCCAGCCCCACCTGTCACTCACCTGCTGCCTGCCAGGAAGAGTCACCCGGGCCAGGGCTGCGTGTGGGATGGGAGAGAAGGCGAGTGGAGGAGCAGACGCTGGAGTGACTTCCTTCAGGAGGGAGCAAGGAAGGGACAGCTGTGCAAGGCCACCCAGCGTGGGCCCCAGGGTGCCGGGAGCTGGGCAGTATGGTGGACTGGGCTGTTCTCCAGGCTGTGCCCAACAGGAGAGGCCTGGGCCAGCAGGAGGTGTGGTTTGGGTCACTGAAGCTCTGGCGTGGGCCACTCTTGGAAGTCCCTGAATCTAGGCATGCATTGCGTATAATTTCCCTTGCTAACCCTGGGCATCTGTCCCCCCACAAGGAACTTACACTGACCCACTAGAATAGGCATCGAGGAAAGAATGGCCACAAGGGGCTTGGTCACCTGCGCTGTGGCCTTGGCTGTGTCTGAGTAGGGGCCTTGCAGTCCCTCCCACCTTCTTAGGGAAGTCGTCACTGTGGGCAAAGGAGGTGACAGGTGTTTGTCCCTGGGAATATCAGCATTATGGCCAGGCTGGGAGACAGGTGCAGAGGAGAGAGCTGGCACAGGCTGGAGGCCACCCAGAGCTGGAGTCCAGGGGTCAGGGCAGGAGTGGCCCTTGTGACTGGCCCATGCCTGGGCCCAGACCCTGCTCACCTAGCATCCTACCTCCCTGGCTGCACCTCGCACCCGGCCCTTCCCCACAAAGCACCTGCCTTGGCTGTCCAGGGGCTGCTTCTCCCTTGTGGCCCTGCCTGCCCCATAGCTGGGGTGCTGGTGGTGGATGGGGGCTGTGCCCAGCCCCAGCCCCAGGATGGGCAACATGCCTTCACTGCGTGTCCGCCAGGCCTGGGCAGGAGTGGAGAGACAATGGGTTCCCTCAGCTGCTGTTCCCCCAAGGAGGAGCCTCCCTGGCTCCTGCCCCACCCGCGAGGGTTGGCTGCCCACTGAGCCTGGCTGGGAGCAGCTGCCGCCTGCGTCCCCTGCCACAGGCACACCTGCTCCCCAGCCGCCCTTTGTCCATGCTGCTGATGCCTGATTTATTGGGCGTATTCTCCCTCTCACCAGCCCAGCATAATACTGACTGTCTGTGATGTGCCCGGTCCGATGCATTTCCCCACAGTACTCCACCTTGGGTCCCCATTCGCGATGGGGTGGCAAGAAGGTTGAGGAGGAGAGGCGTTCAGTAGGACACTGCCCCGGGGCTAGAGGGTTCAGAGTCATATCTAGGCAGGGCTTTCTGGTTCATTTGGGGACACCCAATGTCCTGACACATTAGGGTGCTGAGCAGGGGATTGCCTTAGTGGCAGGGGTCCCCAAGGTGTCCTGGCCTAGCTAACACAAAGTAGGGCACTGGGCAGCCTGCCTTCCCCTTGGAGCTGGTGAGGCAGGAGCGCAGAGAGCGAGAGGGAGGCGTGGACTGGGCAGCCTCCCACCCTGCTTTGATGAGCAATGCCCTCTGTCCAGTGCCCACCGCCTGCCCACTCTGTCAGCCGCTGGGAAAGAAAAAAGAGCCTTTTCTCCAAGTGGGGACTGTAGCCAGCTCCTGCTTGACAATGGAGGGCATTGAATGGGTTGGGGGAGGTGCTGCCTCTGCCCCCCCCAACCCTGCTCCGTTCCCAGTGAGCTCTGGCCAGGACCAGGCGGCCTGTAACTGGATCCACGTGCAGTAGGGGCCTGAGCTGCCTTCCCCAGACCCGGGGAGTGTGGCCTTGCAGGAGCCCCAGCACTGGGTGCCTGAGCACAGGAGCTCCCCTGGGGTCTGTGCCCCGGAGGAGGAGCCAGCTCCATCCCACCCCCAATCCGGAGGAGCGGGAGCCATGGCCCAGGCCTGAGTTAGCTCTGCGCCCTCTCAGAGAGGGCAGCTTGTTTTCTTTAAGCCAGTTGGTTTGGGACTTTGGGCTTCTGGCAACAGATGGTTGGCTGGAGTGGCCATTTTGTGTCCTCCCTGTCCTGTCCGCTCTGCCCAAGCCCAAGCTGCAGCCACAGATAAAAGCCTTCAGGGAGACAGATGCCTCTGGGCCTCGGGGACAGGGGAAGAGACCAGTTGCTGACGCCTCGGCCCCCAAACCATCCCTGTTGCCTCTCTAAGATAGAGCTTCTCCTGGGGCCACCCTGCTCATTTGGGGGGGGCGGGTCAGGGTCAGGGGACTAGAAGGGGAGGGAGTGAGGACTGGACAGCTGGCATTTATGTGGCCACAGCTTCAGGTGCTGGTACCGGGGGCAGCCCCCTCCTGGGTGGTCTCTGGAAGGCAGACGGTTCAGTGCCCAGGAGAGCTGAGAGCCCCGTTTATCCAGGGGACTCCCTGGCTACCTGCCAACTCCCCCACCCCATATAAGGCCCCACCTACCCAGTGCCCAGAGCTGTGGGTGCAGCACCGGGGCTGCCTTCCCAGGCCGCCGCGGGCGGGCACGTTCTGCCTCAGAGGCTTTGCCTCTGGGAAGAGCAATGCCTGACTGGTCCCAGAGCCTCTGCTGAGCTTTCCTGCAAGAGCAAGGCCATGAGGTGACCTCGGCTGGCAGTTTATGGCCCAAGCTCTAGAAGCTGGGTCAACAGGTGGAGGGAGGCAGGACACCCCCTCCCAGCTCCCTTGCTCCTGAGGTGCCTGCACAGTGTGTTCTGGGGGTGGGGCACAGAGCTACACACGAGGCAGCCTGATCCTGGCTAATGTTGCCTGGACATCGTGTGAAAACTGGATCCCGAAAGGAATAAGCCCTGCCTGGTGCTAGGTGGTGCAGGTGGGAGTGAAGCGCCAACCGGAGTCCCAGCAAAATCCCCGTCAGGGAAGGACGGCCCCTGACAAGAAGAAGTCCAGGTCACACTTGCTGTTGTGTGGATACTGAAAGAAGAAAAAACTGAGCTTTTTATTACTCAAGGCATACTCATCGTAGAACTTTATAGAGCTCTCCTTCCCTCTCCACAGTGGCTGTGACTGGTCTGCGTGGCCCCTTCTTGGTGGTTTGCAGAGGTGCAGCCACAGACGCTTGCATGTGTTTTGAAATCTAAGCCAGGCCCTGCCGAAGCTTCTGGTCTCTAGTGTGTTCCCCCAGTTAACATAATTTTTTTTTTTTATGGAGGTGAAATTCACGTAATGTAAAGTTAGCTACTTTACAGTGTACAGTTCAGTGGCATTTGGCACATTCACGATGTTGTGCAGTCACACCCCCTGGTCCCAGAACACATCCATGGCCCCTGGAGGAGCCCTGGTTGCAGCCTGCTCCGTTGTGCCCGCTGCTTGCGTGAGGCTGGCAGCTGCTGGTGCTCCCCTAGGGGCAGCAGTGGCCCTGACAGATGTGGTGCTGGGGGGTGCAGCTGGTGCAACTGACCGCTCTGGTGTGTCTTGTCTGTCACAGCTGCAGTGGGGCCTTTGTGGGCCAGCGATGCCAGGCACAAAGCCCCTGTCTCAGCGCCCCCTGCAAGAATGGCGGGACATGCCACATGGTGGATCACGGCGGTGTGGCAGACTACACCTGCAGCTGCCGCCTGGGATTCTCCGGACCCCTCTGCCTGACGCCCCAAGACAACGCCTGCCTTTCCAACCCCTGCCGCAACGGTGGCACCTGCAACCTGCTCACACTCACAGACTACAAGTGTCTCTGTCCTCCAGGCTGGTCAGGTGAGAGTGGTTGCAGCTGGGCCCCGAGGACCCTTGGTCCTCTTGAGGGGCGGTCTGACCCTGCCCTGCCCCAGCCCAGCCCATCTGTGTGGCTGGAGGAGAGCCCTGGGCTTTCCTTGGGCCTTTGGGGTCTGTGATCCAGAAACAGCTCCAAGCCTCCACCCTAGATAGAGTCCCCATTCTAGCCCTGGACTCGTCAGGTGCTGGCTGCCCTGCTCCAGGGTCCCCACCCTTCCCTGCCTCCTGCAACCCAGGGATGCAGGGGCCCTTGATCAGGAGCTCTGGTGTTAGAACAAAGTTTCTAGGAGTGTGGGCTCTGAAGGCACAGACCCCATCAGATCTGGGAGCTGCCTCTGGTGCCTGTGTCCTGGGATGGTGACTCAGCCTCTGGAACCTTGGTCCCTCCTCTGCAGAAAGATGGCTGTGTTGTGCAGAGGGGGGTGGGGGGGTCCTCGGGGTTAAAGAGATGATGCCATTGGGTCCATCCCAGGCCATCACCTCCGTGGTGCTGGGGGAGGCCCCGGTGGGGAGCAGGGTGACAAGAGTGACCCTCTTACCCTCCTCACCCACCAGGGAAGATGTGCCAGCAGGCTGATCCATGTGCCTCCAACCCCTGTGCCAACGGTGGCCAGTGTCTGCCCTTTGAGGCCTCATACATCTGTGGCTGCCCACCTGGCTTCCATGGCTCCACCTGCAGGCAGGACGTGAATGAGTGCAGCCAGAACCCTGGGCTCTGCCACAACGGCGGCACCTGTCTCAACGAAGTCGGCTCCTACCGCTGCGCATGCCGCGCCACCCACACTGGCCCCCATTGCGAGCTGCCCTATGTGCCCTGCAGCCCCTCCCCTTGCCAGAATGGGGGCACCTGCCGCCCCACGGGGGACACCACCCACGAGTGCGCCTGCCTGCCAGGTACTGCTTGCTGGTCGCAGGCACGTGTTCTCCTTTGCCAGGAGAGTGGGGCTCGCAGGAATGGGGTGCCCAGTGTGAAAGGGGGCGGGCCAGGTTGGACAGGGTGTGTGCCCTTGAGTACAAATTAGAAGGCGGCCCTGGGTGTGGCACGGGGTAGGTCTGGAATAAGGATATTGTTAGGACTGTGTAGGGTTCAGGTACCACCCCAGTTCCCCACCTGCCTATTTCTGACTAGGGTAGGGTTTGCTGTGACTGGACAGCTGGGCCCAGCACCCCCCCCCATGCCAGGGACCCAGGACCCCTGCAGCCCCCAGGAGGGGCTTCTTGGTGAGGCCTGGCTGGGTGCCTTCTTGGCCATTCCCTTCCAAGGCACCTTGTCCCTGCTCTGAGCCTCCTGGGGCAGCGGGCACAAGCCACTCACAAGTCCCCCTCATCTTGGGTTCCCTGGAGCCCATGTGCAAGTTGCAGAACTCTCACCTCTGCAGAGAGCACCTTTCCTGTGTAACCCCGGGGCTTCCCCTGGTTCCCGGGGGTGGGGCCGGCCCCGGACTGGCATCATCACTCACCCCCCCACCCCACCCTTAGTGGCCCTTCCCTTTCTCCTGTCTCTGCCTGTCTCCCATGGGTTGGGTGGGGGCAACAGCAGGCACAGCTCCCTCCCGCACCCCGTCCCCCCTGCAGCCCCACTGCACCAGTTCATACTGGTCTTTCCATTATAGGTTTTGTTTAAATCTTGTTGCTGATGACCTAAAAATAATAACGACGCGGAAGTTTGAAACCCCTCGGTCTGTCAGCTGCACACCGGAGGGGAGTGGGAATGATGGGGAGTGAGTGGGGTATGGGTGCTGGAGGACACAGCACCTGGCTGACCCGAAGGTGACCTGGGGGTTGTCCCAGCCCCCACGCCACCTGGCTCGGCCCAGCCCCTGCAAAGAGGAAGTGTTCTCTTGGCCATCGAGCCCAGGCCGTCACTGTCACCGTCACCGCAGCGCTGCCTCTGCGTGCAGACGCGAGGCTTGTGCACTTCCTGCATGTCACTGGGTTCTCCCGCCACTGCCCGCCTGCCTTCCTGGCTGCTCTGCAGTCTCTGGGGAGCTGAGGACTGAGCCCTCTGGCCAGGCCTGCCCCCAGGCTCTCAGTTCAAATGTCTTCTTGGTAGCTATGTGGCCTGGAGCCTGGGACCGGTGGGGTGAGCCCCTGGCGAGGGTGAGCCCAGCTCTCCAGCCGCACCCACTTTAGAAGGAGATCCTGTGAGGCACAGGGGGGACCCCGACATAGTGGGAAGTGGAACACGGGCCCCTGACTCTGATTTGAGGTGCTCCCCAAACCACTCTGATTTTCATTTGGCTTTTCCTAGCCACCTGCTTTTGCTCCAGGGCGGCTGCGGGAGGGGGTCTCCAAGGGCAAGGGGATGTTCAAAGGCGCCCGAGAGGAACGTTAATTAGTAACTGGTTGCAGGTTTGGCTGTTGCCAGACACACCTCTCTGGGCTGATCATTGAACCAGCGGGAGTTGAATGGATTAATAGCTGATTGGCAAGGAGGCCGAAGCAGAGGTTGGCCCTGGGCGGGGGAGGAGCTGGGCACAAGTCTGTTCCTGGGAAGAGGAGAGCTGCAGCTCTGCACTCTCCCAGGACTGCCCACCTGGTCCTTCCTTCACTGCTGCCCAGCTTGGAGACCCCCCAGCCCTGTGCAGCCCCTGTCAGATGGGATATCTGTGGCCGAGCACCCCCAGTATAGCTCCTGGCCTGTAGGCAGTGCCCAGTTACTGGAGCCACTGGGAGCTCCGTGCCACAGAAGGGTTTCTGTGACGTCCTCGGAACCTGTGTGCATGGGTCTGTCCAGCTGTCCTTTACAAAATGATTCCTTGGAGAGAAACATGTTTCTTGGTCACAGGAATGGGGAGGGGAGGGGTACGGACCCCAAGGCAGTGGGCCTTGAAGGGCAAGGGCTGACCAGGCCCTTGGCTCCTCCTGTCTCAGGCTTTACCGGCCAGAACTGCGAAGAAAATATTGATGACTGTCCAGGAAACAGCTGCCAGAACGGGGGCACCTGTGTGGACGGCGTGAACACCTACAACTGCCGCTGCCCACCGGAGTGGACAGGCACGTACTCAGGGAAGCAGCCGGGCCGGGCCACCACCCACTTGTCACACTGCTCCCCCAGAGGGGGGGGTGAGGGGCCCGAGGGCCTGGGCCAAGTCAGGAAGGATGGTATGACCTGGGGCAGCCCCTCTGCCCACAACCAGAGTCTGAGGCCCCACCCCAGGGGTCAGCACAGACATGGGCCTTTGGCAGCCTGGGGCCATGCAGCCCTGTGCCAGAATCAGGTCCCTAGTTTGAGCCCAGCTTGTTGGGTAAGACAGGGACGCTGATCAGCTGGATGCAGTCCCTGCCGTCAGGGCTCACTCACTGGTGGAGATGACAGACAAGTGTGGATCCCAATTCACCTGTGTCCACAGTCAGGGCAGAAACAAAAGCCCCCTCTGGTGCTGGTGGTGAAGGGGAAAATGTGATTCAGGCTGGTGTTGAGTGGAAGAGTACTCCCAGGAAGGCTTCCTGGTGGAGGCAGACCCTGCATCTGTAGGATTGTGGTCTCAACCTGTGACTGAGGGGTCTGGAGGCAGCCGCTCAACCCAATAGTCCTGTTGCCCCACAGGTCAGTACTGCACCAAGGACATGGACGAGTGCCAGCTCATGCCCAATGCCTGCCAGAACGGTGGGACCTGCCACAACACCCTCGGCGGCTACAACTGCGTGTGTGTCAATGGCTGGACGGGTGAGGACTGCAGCGAAAACATTGACGACTGCGCCAGTGCTGCCTGCTTCCACGGTGCCACCTGCCATGACCGAGTGGCCTCCTTCTACTGCGAGTGTCCCCATGGCCGCACAGGTGAGGGCAGGGGTGCCCCGAGGGGGTGAGTTCTAATGGTTTTCACTGCCCTTGACTGAGGGTCCCCAGGGCCATGCGGGAACTTAAGTGCCACCTGCCTCAGTGGCCTCTCTCAGGCCAGGCCTGGCACAGGTCACCTCAGATGCACAGGCTGGTTTTTCAGGGTCCCCGAGGACAACCCCAAGGGGCCTTTCTGGGGTGAAGAGGAGCAGGGGGTGCCCATGGTCAGGCCAGCTGGTGATTAGCCTCCTGGAATAACTCGAGTGTCCTGGTCACTCAATAGCATCACAGTGTGAGGCCCCTCCTTGATGCATCTGGATGGGATGGGGCCAGGCTGGGGAGGGGCATTGCCCACTGACTGCTAACGCTTTCTGCCCAGGTCTTCTGTGTCACCTCAATGACGCCTGCATCAGCAACCCCTGCAATGAGGGCTCCAACTGTGACACCAACCCTGTCAATGGCAAGGCCATCTGCACCTGTCCCTCGGGGTACACAGGGCCAGCCTGCAGCCAGGATGTGGATGAGTGCTCTCTGGGTATGTCCCAGGCAGGGCATGCAGCGATGGGGGGACAGCCAGGGGCTGGGGAAGCTGGTGGAAATGTACCCTCGTAGGGTCCCCAATCTGATGGGGGAGGCGGGCAGGTCCCAGATGGTTCAAGGCTGGGGTGCTGGGAGCAGCCCCTTACCATGCTGCACCCCCAGGTGCCAACCCCTGCGAGCACAAGGGCAAGTGCATCAACACACAGGGCTCCTTCGAGTGCCGGTGTCTGCAGGGCTACACTGGCCCGCGCTGCGAGATTGACGTCAATGAATGTGTCTCGAACCCGTGTCAGAATGATGCCACCTGCCTGGACCAGATCGGGGAGTTCCAGTGTATCTGCATGCCTGGTGCGTGGGGACCGGCTAGGGAAACCAAGTTGGGGCAGACAGACCCCAGCCTCCATGCCCACCAGGTGACAGACCCTGTCAGCATCTGAGGAAACAGAAGGAGGCCCAGCCCACAAGGCATAGCCGAGAATGGGGTTACCGTGGGTGGGTGGGTCAGCCCTGGGAGGCCAGTGGGCTGCAGATCAGGTGTGGAAGTTGCTGGGCACCTCTTTCTGGGCAAAGACCTTTCATGGCCCCTGTTCTCCCCCGGCCCCCACCCAGGCTACGAGGGTGTACACTGTGAAGTGAACAGAGACGAGTGTGCCAGCAGCCCCTGCCTGCAGAATGGCCGCTGCCTGGACAAGATCAACGAGTTCGTGTGCGAGTGTCCCACAGGTGCGGCCCAGCCCAGCCTGCAGGGCTGTCCCCCAGCCCCCCACACGCTCCATCCCTCCGGTTCAGGCACAGAACCCTAACTTTTCACTATGGGTGTGTCCAGGCTGGGCAGGGTGTACTGGCCCCTTGCCTTGCTTGCCCTGGCTGGGGGAGCCCAGGGCCCAGAGATGCTCTTCCTTGTTGCTGGGGTTTTCTGGAGGAGAGGGCACCCTGGGAGCAGCAGTAGGCTCCTGGGACCCCTGAGGGTTTGGGTGGAGGAAGGCACCGCCCTGGCTCTTTGAGAGCTGCTCATAGCTGGGGTGGGGCGGGGAGCCGGCCTGCGGTGAACATGAGAGCTTGGGGAGCTCCCTGGGGGGCCGAGTCTGTCCCATGGAGGCGTTGTAGGTCAGAGCCTTGGGCTCCTGAGATGTAAATCAGCTACCCCAGACACTAAGGGGAACCCCAATCTCACCCTGACTGGGCTGTAGCCAAGTCAACCACGGTCACTCGGGAAAGGCCCTTCTGTGAGGGCGCCGGCAGAGGCTGACCTAAAGGTTGGGAGTTGAAATGAGAGAAATCTGGGTGGGGTATGCCCAGCGCCCGCCGAAACACACTAGGGGAAAGCCTATTTCGGGAACCCCTGCTGTGGTCTAGCCGAGGCTCGGCCATGGGGCCATGGGGCCTGTCTCATGTAACAGCCGCCCCTCTGTTGGGCCGCAGGCTTCACTGGGAACCTGTGCCAGTATGACGTGGACGAGTGCGCGAGCACGCCCTGCAAAAACGGCGCCAAGTGTCTGGACGGGCCCAACACCTACACCTGCGTGTGCACGGAAGGTGAGGGGCCGCCACTGGCAGGCTGAGTGGAGGGAGGAAAGGCAGGCAGAGGGGACAGTAAGAGCTGAGGTGGGGAAGGTGACAGGTCCCCTCAGTATGGGACCTCTAGTCCAGGGGCTGAGAGTGAGACTCAGCTCTGACCCTGGCAGTGGGAGTGTCACTCGATAAAAGACAAACCCCCAGTCCTCTCCTGCCGGGACACAAGTGACCTGGGTCTGGTTGCAGAGTCCCAGGGCGGGGGATGGCCTCGTGCTTAGGGAGCAGCCACCCTGAGCCCCATCCCCCACCCTGTAGGCTACACGGGGCCTCACTGTGAGGTGGACATCGATGAGTGTGACCCTGACCCCTGCCACTACGGGTCCTGCAAGGATGGTGTCGCCGCCTTCACCTGCCTGTGCCGGCCAGGCTACACGGGCCACCACTGTGAGACCAACATCAACGAGTGCCACAGCCAGCCCTGCCGCCACGGAGGCACCTGCCAGGACCGAGACAATGCCTACCTCTGTATCTGCCTCAAGGGGACCACAGGTGCCTGACCGGGGCTCTGCAGGGGGCGGGGTTGGGGAGGCTCAGGAGCTAACCACTATGTGCCACCCACCCTCCAGGACCCAACTGTGAAATCAACCTAGACGATTGTGCCAGCAACCCCTGCGACTCTGGCACTTGTTTGGACAAGATTGATGGCTACGAGTGTGCATGCGAGCCAGGCTATACAGGTGAGCAGCCCTAGAGGTCAGGAACCCCACAGGCTTGCCACAGGCTAAGGCTGTGCTCAGAGGTCAAAGTCATCAATGGCCTCGGCCTTGAATGGGCCAGGTCTGGGCAAGCCCCAGGGTAGGATGGTGCAGGTCGCTGCCTAGGGCCCAGCTATCAGGCTGCTAGTCTTGGCCAACTGCACCAGAGACCACGGGGGGACTGGGGCCCCAGCCAGCACCAGGTATCCTCAGGCATCCTCAGCCAGCCCAGCAGGCCAAGAACAGAGCCAGGGTCCAGGGCACCATCTGCCTCTGCTGCCACTGTCTGTCCCCAAGCAAGTGCTGACTCTCTGGGCTTCAGGTGCTCCCTCAGCCACGGGATAGTGCAAGCTCTGCCCCGGGGCCGCTGGGAAAGGGACTTTCAAGTGCCCATGAGCGCCCAGCACAGAGCACTGGGCCAGGCTGGCTGGTGACGCATGTGACACTCATGTAAAACGCCTGCTTGGCCGATACACACCGGAAGTACCCAGGTGGAGGGGTTGGTTATCATTCCTGGTTTAATGCAGAAACTGAGGCTCAGGCCAGAACCTGCTTACCAAGAACCCCCCCTCCTCATCTTCTGGGGAGCCCTGGCATGGGAGCTAAACCCCCTCTCCCCCCAACCCCTGCCTGCAGGGAGCATGTGCAACATCAACATCGACGAGTGTGCCAGCAGCCCCTGTCATAACGGGGGCACCTGTGAGGATGGCATCAACAGCTTCACCTGCCGCTGCCCCGAGGGCTACCATGACCCCACGTGCCTGTCCGAGGTCAACGAGTGCAACAGCAACCCCTGCATCCACGGCGCCTGCCGGGACAGCCTCAATGGGTACGGGGCGCAGGGCAGGGTTATGGGGGCACGTCCACCCCACATTCTGCAGCAACATGAGCTGTGCCACCAGGCCGGGAAGGTGCCCGTGCAAAGCTCCAGACAAGCCAAATGTTGGCGCTGGGGTGGGTGGGTGGCTGGCAATGCCCCCAAGGACAGATATGCTATCTATGCCCCGTGTAGGCACCTGCTCAGCCCTGGTCTGTGCCCAGCACTTACCCCAGCCATGTGTCACAGTGGGCCACATGTCATCACAGGCCACAATACTGGCTCAGGAGACAGGTCTTCAGTGATCCCCGAGACACGATGTAGCAGCAGCATTTCTGTGGTTATTGAGATGTAATAAGAAGTAAATACTTTGGCTTTTGTCCTGGCTCCTGAAGCGGCTCCTCAGGTCTATAAAAGTGGAAGGAGCATCTTTTATTATTCATAACAAGCCCCTTTCAACCACACCTGAGTTTATGTTGATGAGGTGGCTAAGGTAACCTAAGGGTGGGGGCTGGGTGCCAGGAACCAAGCCTGTCATTAGAGGGTGGGACCTTTCAGTCCCAACCTGCAGAGTGTGGAGAGGAGCCAGTGAAAGAGCCTGTGCAGCGGAGCCTCTCACTGCTCCCTGAGGGGTTCAGAGGGCTTCCAGGCTGGGAACACATCCCGGCACAGGGAGAGTGGCCCCCCACAGAGGGTGTGGAAGCTCCTCGCCCTTCCCCAGCCCTTGCCCTGTGCGTCTCTTCTATCTGGCTGTTCTGAGTTTAACCTTTTATAACAAGCCACTAATCTAATAAGTAAACTCTCCCTGAGTTCTAAGAGCTGTTCTAGCAAATTACCAAACTTGAGAGGAATGAACCCCTATTTATGGATGGTTGGTCAGAAACACAGGTGACACTCTGGGACTTGTGATTGGTGTCTGATGTGGGGGCAGTCTTGTAGGACCAAGCCCTTCACCCCCCTTTAGTGTCAGAAGTATTAAGGTGTAGAAAGGAAGAGGAAACTCTGATATCCATTATATGCCCGCACCGCTGTCCAGATGGGGCCATTGACGTGGGCAGGGGCCCTGTGCTCTCATTTTGCACAAAGGGGGTAAGCACTGTTCAAGGCCGCACAGCCAGCGGTGGAAAACCTTCTGATCACTGCCCTGTAACCAAACTGTTGCCAGTCTGTCAGGTAGGGTGGGTGCCATTGCCCCACTTCAAAGGACTGAGGGTCAGAGGGGACTGCCACCTCATGCCATCAGACTAGGGGAGTGTTAATGCCGGGAATGCCCACAGCCCAGGGCCGCACATCTTGGCCACCCCTGAGCTACAGTGTGGTCACTTCTGCAGGTACAAATGTGACTGTGACCCTGGGTGGAGTGGGGCAAACTGTGACATCAACAACAATGAGTGTGAGTCGAACCCCTGTGTCAATGGTGGTACCTGCAAGGACATGACCAGTGGCTACGTGTGCACCTGCCGGGAAGGTTTCAGTGGTGAGTGTATGGGGGGGGCACTCCTGGTGCAGAGTGGGCCTCCAGGGGGATGTGGGACCAGTGGCGCAGACCTGCGGGGGTTGGCATCAGGCCTGCAGCCCAGTGCAGGGCACAACGCAGTGATGGATTCACTCGCTGCTGTCCCCTCCCTCCAGGCCCCAACTGCCAGACCAACATCAATGAGTGCGCGTCCAACCCGTGTCTGAACCAGGGCACTTGTATTGATGATGTGGCAGGGTACAAGTGCAACTGCCTGCTGCCCTACACAGGTGAGGGCTCTGTGAGGGTGGGGCCTGGGCGGCTGGAGGGATGAGGTGGCCGAGGGTGCAGTGGGGGCCATGGGGCTGGTCTTGTCTGCTCGACAGCCATTCTCAAAGGTTCTGCTCTGTACTTAGAGCCTTAGGCCGGCTGTATTTGGGCCTCACCCTGCGGATACCATTGCCAGATGGGCACACAAAAAATACAGGATGCCCGGGAGAAAATTTTAGTATAAGTATGTCCCAAATATTTCATCTGGCAAGCCTGTTCAGGAGGTGAGAATATAGTACCCTCGGCAGCAGAAGCAGGGGCTGGGCCTGGATTGTCGGCCTCCAGGGGCCCGGGTGCACGCTGCCGAGGGCCCTGGGGGCCAGGCTGCCTTTCCCATCCGCAGGCCAGGCTCGGGATTCCTTTGACGGGAGGCCTTCTTTGTGTAGGGGAACAAGGAGCCTCTGTTCCCGCTGAGCAGAGACGGGAGACGGTTCCCTGGGTGTCCCAGTCTGTTCTTGTCCCAGCCAAGGGGATCACAGGGACTGTCCCCTGCCTAGAAGAGTTATGCAAAGAGTTAAAAATCAAAAGTCCACAACCACTGGGCTTCTGAGGGTGGGGTGGGCCGAGGGTACTGTCCCTGGAAGTCCTGAGATGGCCCTGCCTGGCGGGCGGGCAGAGGCGGGGCCATGCCTGTGGTTCCCATGACATCGGGCGGCCCGAGGCCAGAGCAGTGTTTTCTTTGACCAGAGCTAGGGACCTGGATTTTCTCTCCTGAATCAGTGAGGAAGGCCGGTGGCCGCCCAGGCCTCCACACCCTGGCGCGCCCAGCCCCTTTCAGCAGGCTGCTATCGGAGCCGGAGGCCTGGCGGGAGGAGCGGCCTGTGCTGCCCCGCTTCCCGCCTGCCCGCTTCCTGCTTCCCTTCGCACAATTGTCGGAAACTCTGGCGAATTTCCTGCCTGCCCAGGTCACCGTGGAAACCGAAAGAAAGAAAGGCCCTGGAAAATCGCAGCGGCAGGCCAGGGAGATAATGGGGAACGAGGAAGATTACGCTTCCTTGCTTCCTCGGGAATCGGCCTTACTGGCCGTAAACAGGAAGACTCTCCCTGGGCCCGGCGTGCACCAGGCTCTAGCCAGGCTCCCTGCTTTGTCCCAGAGGTCCTGATGCCGCCCAGGGCTCCCCTAATAAGTAGGGCTGGGGCAGGCACGTTCCCCCGACCGTGGATGGCTTATTCCCTGCTGTCACAGCCTCTGTTCAGTGGCCTCCCTTGATGGGCGCTTCCTGCCTGTGACATGAGAGGCTGGGAGCAGGCCTGTGGCCCCTGTGATGTTGTGGAGGGGTCCCAGTCCTTACTGCCAGGTGCTCCTCGTGGGGTGAGGCCCAGGCTGTCCTGTAGCCCGTGGGGGAGCCAGGCATTCATGTGGCTTGTCTTCAGCCCCCAGTTCGGGTCCTGACTCAGCCAGAAGCTCACACAGGGCCTTAAGTACAGCCCCATTTGCCCCCCTCGGGGCCAGCCCTGTGTGCTCTGTCTGATAGTGGAAGGACCAGCAGGTAGTGGCCACAATGGGCTGTTGATGCTGTGGGGTGTTGACCCTCTGGGCCAGGGCTCCCTGGGCCTCATCATCTAACCCTCTTCCCTCAGGAGCCACATGTGAGGTGGTGCTGGCCCCGTGTGCCCCTAGTCCCTGCAGAAACGGTGGCGAGTGCAAGGCGTCCGAGGACTATGAGAGCTTTTCCTGCGTCTGCCCCACAGGCTGGCAGGGTGAGGACAGCCTGCTCCCTGCATCCCTGGCTTGGCAGAGTTCCAGGAGGGACTGGGACGGGGAAGGAGGGAGGTCCCCAGGGCTCCGGCAGCTCCAGGATGGTAGGGAGTGAGCTCCCCATCTTTGNAAGAAAGAAAGGCCCTGGAAAATCGCAGCGGCAGGCCAGGGAGATAATGGGGAACGAGGAAGATTACGCTTCCTTGCTTCCTCGGGAATCGGCCTTACTGGCCGTAAACAGGAAGACTCTCCCTGGGCCCGGCGTGCACCAGGCTCTAGCCAGGCTCCCTGCTTTGTCCCAGAGGTCCTGATGCCGCCCAGGGCTCCCCTAATAAGTAGGGCTGGGGCAGGCACGTTCCCCCGACCGTGGATGGCTTATTCCCTGCTGTCACAGCCTCTGTTCAGTGGCCTCCCTTGATGGGCGCTTCCTGCCTGTGACATGAGAGGCTGGGAGCAGGCCTGTGGCCCCTGTGATGTTGTGGAGGGGTCCCAGTCCTTACTGCCAGGTGCTCCTCGTGGGGTGAGGCCCAGGCTGTCCTGTAGCCCGTGGGGGAGCCAGGCATTCATGTGGCTTGTCTTCAGCCCCCAGTTCGGGTCCTGACTCAGCCAGAAGCTCACACAGGGCCTTAAGTACAGCCCCATTTGCCCCCCTCGGGGCCAGCCCTGTGTGCTCTGTCTGATAGTGGAAGGACCAGCAGGTAGTGGCCACAATGGGCTGTTGATGCTGTGGGGTGTTGACCCTCTGGGCCAGGGCTCCCTGGGCCTCATCATCTAACCCTCTTCCCTCAGGAGCCACATGTGAGGTGGTGCTGGCCCCGTGTGCCCCTAGTCCCTGCAGAAACGGTGGCGAGTGCAAGGCGTCCGAGGACTATGAGAGCTTTTCCTGCGTCTGCCCCACAGGCTGGCAGGGTGAGGACAGCCTGCTCCCTGCATCCCTGGCTTGGCAGAGTTCCAGGAGGGACTGGGACGGGGAAGGAGGGAGGTCCCCAGGGCTCCGGCAGCTCCAGGATGGTAGGGAGTGAGCGCCCCATCTTTGGAGATGAGCTAGGGGGTTCTGAGCCACCTGCAAGGGGTGCATGAATTGAAGTATGAATTGACCTCGCCCTTCCTGGGCATCCCCAAGGACCACCCTGGGGCTGAGGAGACCCCATACCTGGGTGGACAGGGGAGAAGCCTAGAGTTGGGCTGAAGTGACAGTTTCCTACTCCTCCCCCCAGGGCAGACCTGCGAGGTTGACATCAACGAGTGCGTGAAGAGCCCGTGCCGCCACAGCGCCTCCTGCCAGAACACCAACGGTAGCTACCGCTGCCACTGCCAGGCAGGCTACACGGGGCGCAACTGCGAGACGGACATCGATGACTGCCGGCCGAGTGAGTGGGCCAGCCAGCGTGTTCGCGTCTGAGATGGGCGGGGAGCTTGTTGAGGTCTAAGGGGAGAATGGATGTGGAGGTGGCTGGAGCAGCACTGGTCATACCAACTGTCACTCCCAGAGAGACCAACCTTGCCCAGTCCATCTGGGCATGGTCGGAGGGAGCCAGGTTGGTCCTGCAGGAAGTGTTCGGGCGTTGCACGGACTGAGCTGATGTGCTTTCGGTTGGTTCCAGAAGGCTCTGGAGCAAGACTGCCTGGCTACAAGCCCATCCAACATCTCCCGGTTGGCTTCCAGCAGCTCCTCCAGTGAAAGCACCTGGCCCCGTGGCCTTATTAGCCCTTGTCGTGACTCACGAAGAACAGTCTTAGGCCCCCACCCCGCCTGCCTCTCAGGCCTGCTCTCCTGTCCCTCCCCAGACCCGTGCCACAACGGTGGCTCCTGCACAGATGGCATCAACGCGGCCTTCTGCGACTGCCTGCCTGGCTTCCAGGGTGCCTTCTGCGAGGAGGACATCAATGAGTGTGCCAGCAACCCCTGCCGCCATGGTGGCAACTGTACCGACTGCGTAGCCAGCTACACGTGCACCTGCCCCACAGGCTTCAGTGGGATCCACTGTGAGAACAACACGCCTGACTGCACAGAGAGGTGGGTGGGGCCACGGCCCACAGGCGGGGACGCTGTACCGGGGCTAAAGTGGGAAGGGAAATGGGCCATGTGGGTCATGTCCAGTGTCTGGCAACCTGGCCCACCAAGCAGGTGTCCACCTGGTCAGACTCAGAGCTAGCTGAGTGGAGTAAGACGTTCATTGTAGTGTGGTGTTTCTCCTAGGAGGGCCATTGTCAATTGACAAGGAGGGAACCGGGAACCCTGGTAGTTTAAGAACTGGTGTGCCTTGTAACCCAAGGAGAACTTGTAACCCATCTTGTTACCTTTTTTGCCTTGGCTGTCAGGAAGCTCAGCATTATATATCCTCATCCCTGTTTTCTGACGTGATTATCTTCAACATTATCTATACAAGTTCACGTGTCTCCCTTGTTTTCATAGCCTGTGTGCATTAGAAAGCTCCTCTCAGGATCAGTTATAAGGAAAGACAGAGGAAAGGGAGGGAGTGTGATGTGGTTTGAGAATCTGAGGCCCGGCCTGTGTTGGGGGGGCCCCCTGAGGCTGCCGTTGGTCTCCCTGAGGTCGGTCAGGCTACTTTGGCCACAGTCTGAGCCGAGGAGGAGGTGCCAGTGTGGAGGTGCCTGCTTGTCAGGGTCCTGCGCCCCCACTCACCCTGTCCCCTGCTGCCTGCTGCCTCCAGCTCCTGCTTCAATGGCGGCACCTGCGTGGATGGCATCAACTCCTTCACCTGTCTGTGTCCACCTGGCTTCACGGGCAGCTACTGCGAGCACGACATCAATGAGTGTGACTCACGACCCTGTCTGCACGGCGGCACCTGCCAAGACAGCTACGGCACCTACAAGTGCACCTGCCCGCTGGGCTACACTGGCCTCAACTGCCAGGTGAGTTAGTGAGCTGCAGGGCCTGGCTGGAGGTGGTCTCGGTGGTACACCAGCCTGTGGCACATCATAGCAGTCTCCTGCTGGTCCCACTTCAGTTGACCCGGAGTAGAGAAGAGCCAGGCTCAGAGGGTGGGGGTGGCCTCAGTCACATGCTCCTGGGGGTCTGGATGGCCAGCCTGGCCCCAGCCTGGGCTGTGCTGCCACCTGAGGAGTCAGTTGCTGGACGGGACAGCCATCTAGGTCCAGTAGCAGAGGTTCACGGAATAAGAGCAAAGACTAGGTAATTTGGGCGAAGATTGTTACAAACTGATGTTTTTACAGGAAATATACAAAAGTATTAAAGATTGATCTTCCTGGGAGATGTTCACATAAAACATCAATTACAAACACTTCCAACGAAGTTGTTTACTTCTGAAGAAAGATCCTTTGAGAAAAGGTGGTCTGGATTTGCTGAGGGCCCAGAGAGAGATTCCTGGCCAGCCACAGGCTGCTCCAGGCAGTGGGAGCCCACGGACCCGTTTCCACCCATGCGGGATGGGTGGGTGAGGTTCTCAGGTGTATGTTCTGCATGGCCGGGTGGGGAGTGTGAGGGCTCATCTGCTTTCCCCAGAACCTTGTGCGCTGGTGTGACTCGTCCCCCTGTAAGAACGGCGGCAAGTGCTGGCAGACCAATATCCTGTACCGCTGCGAGTGCCACAGCGGCTGGACTGGCCTCTACTGTGACGTGCCCAGCGTGTCCTGCGAGGCGGCCGCACGTCAGCGAGGTAACCAGCATGTCCCTCCCTAGCCCAGGCTTTCCTAGCAGTCGTCCCCCAAGAGGGACGCCCAGGCCTCACACTCCCTGCCCCCCGTCCTCTGCAGGCATCGACGTGACCCACCTGTGCCGGAACGGAGGGCTCTGCATGGACGCGGGCAACACACACCACTGCCGCTGCCAGCCGGGGTACACGGGCAGCTACTGCGAGGACCAGGTGGATGAGTGCTCGCCCAGCCCCTGCCAGAACGGGGCCACGTGCACGGACTATCCTGGCGGCTACTCCTGCGAGGTGGGGACCCGTCCTGAGTTGGGGTGTGTGTATCTGGCGTGTCACTGAGTGCTGGGCCCTGGACTGGGAGCCAGTAGAGTAGGGAAGACTAAGCCCAGCAGATGCAGACACCTTTCAGTCCCATTAAGGGAGAGCCAGGATAATCAGGGGAGACCGCCTGGAGGAGGTATCCTGTGGGGGAGCCTGCAAGAATAATAATACACTGAGAAATTGGACAGGGTCTCCCCTCCCGTAGGGTTTATTTCTCTTGCTCATCTGATACCCACCCTGAGACCCCCACATCTATCTCAGGAGATAGGGTCTGGCTCCTGCTCTGGGCAGTGACTCTTAGCTTATTAGGGCCCCTCTCAGGGTTGGCTCAACAAGAGTCTCCCTCTGGGTCAGCCAAATGTGAGGAACCCAAGGCTTCGCTAGGCAAGAGGTTCAGGTTGTGTGACTCTGTCAGCAGAGGGGTGGCAGGTGGCACCATGGTTCCCCACCGAGCCACAGCCCCCTACCTCTTCTCTGTATCCCTGCACAGTGTGTGGCCGGCTACCATGGAGTGAACTGCTCCGAGGAGATCAATGAGTGCCTGTCCCACCCGTGCCAAAATGGGGGCACCTGCATCGACCTCACCAACACGTACAAGTGTTCCTGTCCCCGGGGCACACAGGGTAAGGCTTGCCATACCCAGGGCTGAGATCCAGGAGAAAGTGGGCAGTCGGGTACCCTGTGACCAACCAGAGGCATCCTGGACCCAGCCAGAACCTCGTGAGGGCAAAAAGCAGGTGCAGGGCTAAGGGAGCCTGGCCAGGCGACTGGCACATGGCAGCCACCCTATGCCAGCTTCCTGTCCTGAGCATCTGTATGGTCCCCATCCTCACCGTTTGTCCAGGGGCACCTCGGGAGGGAACGGGGACCAGCGCACAGCCAGCACAAGTCCCTGACTTGCCTGTGCCCCTGTAGGGGTGCACTGTGAAATCAACATGGATGACTGCAACCCCCCTATTGACCCCGTCTCCCGCGGCCCCAAGTGCTTTAACAATGGCACCTGCGTGGACCAGGTGGGTGGCTACAGCTGCACCTGCTTGCCCGGCTTTGTGGGCGAGCGCTGTGAGGGTGACGTCAACGAATGCCTCTCCAACCCTTGCGACTCCCGTGGCACCCAGAACTGCGTGCAGCGCATCAATGACTTCCACTGCGAGTGTCGCCCTGGCCACACTGGTGGGTGCAGCAGGCCTGATGGGCAGGGACTGGGTCTGGGCTGGGCAGGCCTCACACCTACTCTCGTTCCCAGGGCGCCGCTGTGAGTCAGTCATCAATGGCTGCAAAGGGAAGCCCTGCAAGAACGGTGGCACGTGCGCCGTGGCCTCCAACACTGCCCGCGGATTCATCTGCAAATGCCCAGCGGTAGGTGCAGCTGCTAGGGTGGGCGTGGGAGGGCTCCTTGGTCTGAAGGTGGCAGCTGAACCCCCCCTGTACCGCAGGCCTGGCCCTGCACACGTCTGCCAGAGGGCTCCACCGTCCCCATGCCCCTCGAGATCATCTTTTGTATCAGTAAACTTTATTTTTAGAGCAGTTTTAGATTTATAGAAAAATTGTGCGGAAAGTAGAGTTCCCATCTCTCTCCTCCCGGCCACATTCCCAGGTTCCCTTATTAGCGTCTTGTTTTCCTGTGGTCCATTGTTACTATTGACATTACTATTGACTCGCTGACATCAATACATTGTTATTAAGTCAGGTCTGTAGTAGTGTTATTTCCCAAGGGTGTCGGGGTTGCTCCTGGTGTTGTGCTGCATGCTTTGGGTTCTGACAATGCATATAGTGTGACAGGTCCGCTCACAGCATCATGTGGAGTTTTTTAGTGCCCTGAAAACACCGTGTTCAACCTATGCATCCTCTCTCCCTCCCTGCCAACCCCTGAGCTTTTTATGTTCACAAAATATCTAAAGGGTTCTGCTGCTCAGGGAAAGGCTGCCGGCCCCTCTCCTGGGTGGGGGCCTGGCCGGGCCTCGTGGTGTCTGGGGAACCAGCCCATTCTGATTCTCCTGTCTACCCTCTCCTGGCAGGGCTTCGAGGGCGCCACGTGTGAGAATGACGCGCGCACCTGCGGCAGCCTGCGATGCCTGAATGGCGGCACCTGCATCTCAGGTCCACGCAGCCCCACCTGCCTGTGCCTGGGCCCCTTCACGGGCCCTGAGTGCCAGTTCCCGGCCAGCAGCCCCTGTGTGGGTGGCAACCCCTGCTACAACCAGGGCACCTGCGAGCCCACGTCCGAGAGCCCGTACTACCGCTGCCTGTGTCCTGCCAAGTTCAACGGGCTCCTGTGCCACATCCTGGACTACAGCTTCAGGGGTGGTGTGGGCCTGGACATCACCCCACCGCAGATTGAGGAGGCCTGTGAGCTCCCCGAGTGCCGCGAGGAGGCCGGTAACAAGGTCTGCAGCCTGCGGTGCAACAACCACGCGTGTGGCTGGGACGGTGGCGACTGCTCCCTCAACTTCAACGACCCGTGGCAGAACTGCACGCAGTCACTGGAGTGCTGGAAGTACTTCAGCAACGGCCACTGTGACAGCCAGTGCAACTCGGCTGGCTGCCTCTTCGACGGCTTCGACTGCCAGCGTGCAGACGGCCAGTGCAAGTAAGCCAGTGTGGGGTGGCTGCCCCTCAGTGCCATGCCCGGGCTCCCGGTGCAGGCAGAGTGGGCAGAGGACCCCCAAGCTCAAATGCTGAGCAGCGTGGGGCCAGACACTAGTGAGGGGTTCCCCCTATGGGCAGGGTGGGCCTCAGATAGAGGGAGGCTTGAGTGCACCTTGTGCCCGCAGCCCCCTGTATGACCAGTACTGCAAGGACCACTTCAGCGACGGGCACTGCGACCAGGGCTGCAACAGAGCGGAGTGCGAGTGGGACGGGCTGGACTGTGCGGAGCACGTGCCAGAGCGGCTGGCAGCTGGCACGCTGGTGGTGGTGGTGCTCATGCCACCTGAGCAGCTGCGCAACGACTCGTTTCACTTCCTGCGGGAGCTCAGCCGCCTGCTCCACACCAACGTGGTCTTTAAGCGAGATGCCAATGGCCAGCAGATGATCTTCCCCTACTATGGCCGAGAAGAGGAGCTGCGCAAGCACCCCATCAAACGCTCTGTGGATGCCTGGGCTGCCCCCGGGGCCCTGCTCGGCCAGGTGAAGGCCACACTGCTCCCGGGCAGCGGGGGCGGGCGCTGGCGCAGGGAGCTGGACCCCATGGACATCCGCGGGTGAGTGAGCTGCAACACACCAGTCAAGCCCTGCATGACCCTCAGGGTTGTCCCTAGAGCACTATTCCCCCCACTTGATGGTAAAAGAGACCGAGGTTCCGGGGGCATTGAGGACCTGGGATATTCAGGGCCTGCCACAGGCAAGGGGCAGAGGCAGCATTTCCACCTATGGCTCTTGACCCCTAGGCTCATGCCCTGGGTTCTGGGGTTAGCTCCCTGGAGGGGACCGGGCTTGAGACTCTGTTCTGCTGAGATGAGGAAAAGAGGTACTTTTGGCACCCAAGGGAACCACAGTGGGTGGCAGACCTGAGGTGGGCGGGCACTTTGAGGGGTGTCTGTGAGAGACACCGTTTTCCTCCAGAGTTGTTCCTGTCCAGACCCGGCTCCCTGTCACCCCAGACTGGCCCATCCTTGAGTTCTGGGAGCACCTGTCTCCCCAGGGACCCATTGGGGTGATACCACTAGGGCCACATCTAGTCCCCAGAGTCCACTTGCTGGGCAGGCATGGGGAGAAAGCCTGTGACCGAGCCCTGACCCTCGTTTTCCCCAGGTCCATCGTATACCTGGAGATAGACAATCGGCAGTGCGTCCAGTCGTCCTCACAGTGCTTCCAGAGCGCCACCGACGTGGCCGCCTTCTTGGGGGCGCTCGCCTCACTGGGCAGCCTGAACATCCCCTACAAGATCGAGGCCGTGCAGAGTGAGTGCTCAGCCGCCGTCGAGCTCGAGGCCCCCCGGGAGGGGTCAGGTCCCAGCTTCCCCCCCCAAGATGCGCTTGCTCTTTGTGTCAGTTGCCACCCATGGGCTTGTGCCGTGCCATCCAGAGTTTGGGGAGCACTTTTCTGGAAATTTCTGCCTGGCACATCCTTTCTACCATAGTGACAGCTGCCGGGGGAGCTTGCCCTGGGGACAAGCCCATCCGCTAGAAAGTGGGAGCTTTTTTCTCTCCCCACCCCTTCCCCCCGATTTTTCTTTGTTGGGTATTATTTCAAAATCATTACAGCTTTTTAAAAAGGAGAGAGAGAGAGAGAAGAATTGATCGATGTCATGTGAAGAGTTGAAGTTTGTATCTCGAAAATCCCCGTAAATCCTTTGTCTTAACAGCTCAGTGTGAGCGCAGCGATTTCAAGTTGGCTAATCCTCCTTAAAGGAGAGAAAAGTAAAAGCCGCCTCCAGATACTCAGCTGGTGCAGGAGAGAATTTAGCGATAGTTTGCAATTCTGATTAATCGCGTAGAAATGACCTTATTTTGGGGGGCGGGATGGAGGAGAGCGGGTGAGGAGGCTCCCGGCCGAGGAACCAGTCCACTGCCCCCCGGCCGCCAGCCTGCCACGTAGCCACAGCCTGATGCCCGGGTGCCCACCACCGGCCCCTGTGCCCGCAGGTGAGACGGTGGAGCCGCCCCCGCCTCCTCCGCTGCACTTCATGTATGTGGCCTTGGCCGCCTTTGTCCTGCTCTTCTTCGGGGGCTGCGGGGTGCTCCTGTCCCGCAGGCGCCGGCGGCAGCATGGCCAGCTCTGGTTCCCTGAGGGCTTCAAGGTGTCAGAGGCCAGCAAGAAGAAGCGGCGGGAGCCCCTCGGCGAGGACTCTGTGGGTCTCAGGTTAGTGGATGCTGCTGTGGCCTCCTGGGGGTTTGCGGGAGGCGGGGCCCCTGCAGACCCGCCGAGCACGGTCAGGGCATCAAAGGCCGCCTCGGGGGTCTCCTGGGGAACCCTGTTCAATCTTTCTCTCTCCCCTCCTTCCCCCAGGCCCCTGAAGAACTCCTCGGATGGCGCCCTTATGGATGACAATCAGAATGAGTGGGGCGACGAGGACCTGGAGACCAAGAAGTTCCGGGTGAGTCTGGGGCTCCAGGGCTTCCCCGGGTGTCCCCTGCTCCCTGCTCCCCCGCCTGCCTGACATGACATGCATGGCTCTCTGCTTGGTCCCCTTCTTCAGTTCGAGGAGCCAGTGGTCCTTCCTGACCCGGATGACCAGACAGACCACCGGCAGTGGACCCAACAACACCTGGACGCCGCCGACCTGCGAGTGTCTGCCATGGCCCCCACCCCACCCCAGGGCGAGGCTGACACCGACTGCATGGACGTCAACGTCCGTGGGCCTGGTAAGTGTGCACGGGCCCACAGGGGCCCTCTGGCCAGGGTCGCTCTCATTTGGAAGCCTGTGCTTCCCTGACCCCGTAGCCCACCTTCCTTGCCTCCCCGAGCCTAGGGGTCACTATTCTGAGAGCTGAGTAGGGGTGGGGGCATTCCCTGGCTTCCTCCTGGCTGGTTCCCCCAGCCCGCTCTGTCCTGTAAATTGATTTCTTCTCCCACAATGCTTCCTTTGAGGTATCTGAAGTGTTGGTTTCCTGACTGCATTTTACATCATCTTTTTTCCGGGGGTGGAGGGTAGTCGGCAAAGATCTCACAGGGTTTTAGGTCTTATTGCCCATGGGTCCGTTGGCCACTGGACTTAGCTCTGTCCCTTGGGAAGCTTAGATTGATTTTGGTGGCCCCCAGGCCTGGTGTTCAGGACCACAACGGGCTGGGCCACGTGTTCTCACAGGCTGTCCACCAAGTCAGGGCCGTTGTCACACTGCCCAGAGCCGCTGCTGGGGGCTGGCCTTCCTGACTGTGCCCCGCCCCTGTCCTCACTGCAGACGGCTTCACGCCCCTCATGATCGCCTCCTGCAGCGGAGGGGGCCTGGAGACGGGCAACAGCGAAGAGGAGGAAGATGCACCAGCCGTCATCTCAGACTTCATCTACCAGGGCGCCAGCCTGCACAACCAGACGGACCGCACAGGGGAGACTGCCCTGCACCTGGCTGCTCGCTACTCACGCTCGGACGCAGCCAAGCGCCTGCTGGAGGCCAGCGCTGACGCCAACATCCAGGACAACATGGGACGCACTCCGCTGCACGCGGCTGTGTCTGCTGATGCACAGGGTGTCTTCCAGGTGGGCAGCTGCTGCCAGGCCCCGGCTCGCCTACCGTCCTGGTCTGGGCCAATGATACACGTGGACACTGGAGCCCTGATCCCAAGCATAACCTAAGCAGGGACAGCTGGTGTCTTTATCTCAAGCAAGGCACCAGGCTGGGGAGGGCTCCAAACCCCACAAGTTGTCCTCATAGGGAAGCCAGGCTGGAAAAGGTCCAGCAGGAGCCCTGAGGGGCCTGCTGGGGGGCAGGGCCTCTTCACCCCAACCCAGACAGGCTCCCATCCCACTGTGGTGGGCCCTCACACCTCACTCCTCCCTCTCTGCCATGGCCAGAGGTGTAGCATGTGGCACAGTGTGAACGGTTTAGAGACTACTGCTTGCTGCCTGCAAACCTGGAAGGTGGCCTTGCTGGGGAGCCCAAGATGGGTGGATTTAGGGATTTGGATGCCTGGGTGTCTGGGGAATGTCCCTGACAGAGGCTCCTTCTATAAGTTGCTCGCTGGTCTCCTTGCTGCAAGGCCCCAGGCTCTGGGCAGCCCTGCCCTGCATGGATGGGCAGGTGAGATGGGCAGAACCCAGGGGAATCACTACAGAGCTTCTGATTTCGTAATTTTTAGCGTATTTCTCTATGGAAATCAGAAATGCAGAATTGAGGTTAGTTGAAAGAAGACAATGTAAATGAGCCCTGGAGGCAGGCTCTGGCCGCAGGTGCAGTGGCAGCCTTTCTGGCAGATAGAGACAAAATTTCACAGGTACTTTGCAGGAATGAGGTCGGTCCTGCACATTGCTTGGTGCCCAGCTTTTTTCACCTACTAGCAAACAGTGATCACCCTTCTGGCCTGTGACCCAGGGTTAGCAGCATCTAAAGGGCTGCCTGCACTGTCCTGTGTGCCTGGCTGGATGCAGCAGAGCTCGGCAGTTTGGAGTGTGGCTCTAGCCTCTGGAGCCAGGGCCAAGGGGCTGGCTGGTCTTTGGGCAGCATGCTCTCTGGCCTGGCTGTCCCCAGCAGCAGCTGGCAGAGTGCTGCCCTCCCTGCCTTTCACTCCAGTCTTGCTGGGGCCACTCAGACCCCAGGAGGGTGTTGGGCTCCGTTTTGCCAAGCCTGAGACCTTCCCTGTCACCCAGATCCTGATCCGGAACCGAGCCACGGACCTGGACGCCCGCATGCATGATGGCACGACTCCGCTGATCCTGGCTGCCCGCCTGGCTGTGGAAGGCATGCTGGAAGACCTCATCAACTCGCACGCCGACGTCAACGCCGTTGATGACCTAGGTAAGCTGGGCCACAGCTCAGTCCACGGGGGATGGGCCGCTGCCACCCGCTCTGCCCAACCAACCCTCTGCCTACCACACAGGCAAATCTGCCTTGCACTGGGCCGCCGCCGTGAACAACGTGGAGGCTGCTGTTGTGCTCCTGAAGAACGGTGCCAACAAGGACATGCAGAACAACAAGGTGGGACCCTGTGCCACTCATTTCTGACCGTGGGCCCCCAAACCAGTAACCTACATTCCAGGGCCTTGGCTTCCTGACCGGTGGAGTGCCGCTTAGAACTGGGCACACGGATGGATGCAGACCCTGCAGCTTGGTGCCCGTGTGTTGTTAGCAGCCCTTCCTTCTTCCAACCTGTGCTTATTGGTCCCTTCCCAAGAATAGGGCTGCTACTGCAACAGGACATTCCTCCTAGTATAGGGAGTGACCTGGACCTTACAGGTCTCTCTCCCTCCTGGGTGAGGGGACCCAGCTGTGTTGGGCGCTAGGGGGCACTGTTGGACACAGCTCCTGAGTCCCTGAGGGGGCATTGGGCCAACTGGGCCTCAGACACAGGGACTGGTCAAGGCATTAAGCCATTGCCAACGCCTTATGTGAGCCAGGTTGGCATCATCAGGCCTCACCCCCAGTGTGGCAGCCTGGCAGGACATGTGGCATGTCAACTGTACTGATGAGAAAACCAAGGCTCAGAGAAGAAGCTGAAATGTCAGAGCAATTTGGGGACCATCAGGATGCGGACTCCCACCCTGGTGCTCATGCATACACTTCAGGGATCCGCAAGCCCCTGAATTTGCTGCCACGTTTATATCTGTACAGCTTTCGGGGAAGAGAGGCCATAGTTCGTTAGATTTCCCGTGGGGTCTATGACCCCACGAAGGTAAATCCTCCTGATTCAGAATATAGAATCCCGTAGACCACCTGAGGCAGGTCTCAGAAGATGCATTTAACGCTTTTGTTTTTAAGAAGACTTGGTGAGGTTAGGTCATTGTGGGATGCTGGGTCAGGTCAAAGGCACTTTATCCTGTGGCGGGGTTGGTGGAGTCAAACCGCTGGTCCCTCTGGTGATTGGGCGTTGGTGAGAGTGACCCTACCTGTCCCTTGCCTGTGTCCTCAGGAGGAGACACCTCTGTTCCTGGCCGCCCGGGAGGGCAGCTACGAGACCGCCAAGGTACTGCTGGACCACTTTGCCAACCGGGACATCACGGACCACATGGACCGCCTGCCCCGGGACATCGCGCAGGAGCGTATGCATCATGACATTGTGCGGCTGCTGGACGAGTACAGCCTGGTGCGCAGCCCCCAGCTGCACGGCACCGCCCTGACCGGTACACCCACCCTATCACCCCCGCTCTGTTCGCCCAATGGCTACCTGGGCAATCTCAAGCCTACCGTGCAGGGCAAGAAGGCCCGCAAGCCCAGCACCAAGGGCCTTGCTGGTGGTGGCAAGGAGGCCAGGGACCTCAAAGCACGGAGGAAGAAGTCGCAGGACGGCAAGGGCTGCCTGCTGGACAGCGCGAGTGTGCTGTCGCCCGTGGACTCCCTCGAGTCACCCCACGGCTACCTGTCAGATGTGGCCTCACCGCCCCTCCTGCCTTCTCCGTTCCAGCAGTCTCCATCTGTGCCCCTCAACCACCTGCCTGGCATGCCTGACGCCCACCTTGGCATCAGCCACTTAAGTGTGGCGGCCAAGCCCGAGATGGCAGCGCTGGGCGGGGGTGGCCGGCTGGCTTTCGAGGCGGGGCCGCCACGCCTCTCCCACCTGCCTGTGGCCTCCAGCACCGGCACAGTCCTGGGCACCGGCAGTGGCAGCGGGGCTGTGAATTTCACCGTGGGTGGGACCACGGGCTTGAACGGCCAGTGCGAGTGGCTGTCCAGGCTGCAGAATGGCCTGGTGCCAAATCAGTACAACCCTCTGCGGGGGAACGTGGCGCCAGGCGCACTGAGCACACAGGCCTCGGCCCTCCAGCACGGCATGATGGGCCCGCTGCATGGTGGCCTCTCTGCCACCACCCTGTCCCAGATGCTGAGCTACCAGGCCCTGCCCAACACCCGGCTGGCCACCCAGCCTCACCTGGTGCAGACCCAGCAGGTGCAGCAGCCGCCGCAGCAAAACTTACAGATGCAGCAGCAGCCAAGCATCCAGCAGCAGCAGAACCTACAGCCGCCGCCGCCCCAGCCACACCTCGGCGTGGGCTCTGCCACCAGTGGCCACCTGGGCCGGAGCTTCCTGGGCGGAGAGCCAAGCCAGGCAGACGTGCAGCCGCTGGGCCCCAGCAGCCTGGCAGTGCACACCATCTTGCCGCAGGACAGCCAGGTCCTGCCCACATCACTGCCATCCTCCCTGGTCCCTCCCATGACCACTGCCCAGTTCCTTACGCCACCTTCACAGCACAGCTGCTCCTCCTCGCCTGTGGACAACACCCCCAGCCACCAGCTGCAGGTGCCCGAGCACCCCTTCCTCACCCCGTCCCCCGAGTCTCCCGACCAGTGGTCCAGCTCGTCCCCACATTCCAACATCTCTGATTGGTCCGAGGGCATCTCCAGCCCGCCCACCAGCATGCAGTCCCAGATCGCCCACATTCCAGAGGCCTTCAAGTAGCCGCTGGCCGCGGGACCACACTTCCTTCCCCAGGCCTTGCCGGGGTGATCACCCCGGCACTCCATGGATGCCAGGCCGACCAAAGGAGGTTTTTTTTTTTTTTTTAAAAGAAACATGTTTTTATACAAAATAAGAGGACACATTTGGGATTTTTTTTTTTAGTATTTATTTATGTACTTTTATTTTACATGAAAACACTGCCTTTTTATTTATATGTACTGTTTTCTATGGCACTAGGTAGAAAATTTTCTGTTCCAGGAAACTAAGTAGTTCTCAACCATGACTTTTTTACTTAGGATAAAGATTGTTACATATTTGTAAAAAATATAAACAAAGATTCATGATTTATAAATGTCATTTATTTATTATTTTTTGTCAAAATCCAAAAAGAAATAATGTTGGAGAAGGGAGGTTTGAGCCAGCGTTGTCCAAAAAGCTCTCCCGGGTGCCCGGGCTGGCTGCAATTTCCCCAAAACCCCCCACACACCGCAGCATCTAGAGATAAAGAGGCAAAACCTCTACACCTTTGGCACGTGGATTAATTTGCATCTAAACAGGAAAGTGAAAAGATGTGGGTTATACGTTTGGGTGTTTTTGAGTGGTTTTTTGAGCAAGTGCTTCTGACAGTGTGTTCTCGGGGTGTCAAGTGCATTTGGGGTACCGATCATGAATCTTTGTTTCAGGGTCAGTGTTATGTAGTCATTCATTGGTCTTGCCAGGTCTTGTTCCTTCTGGAAGCTCCTCTGCCCCCACCCTGGCCTTGATATTTCAGCATTGTATAGCGTGAGAAATCAGGTGTGGCTGTGTGACACCCACCTTGACCCACGTGGGAATCCTACCCTTTTCTGGGGAAAGACACTGCCTGGGTTGCCCCGCCGGACGCCCCAGCACCTCAACTTGCACAGAGTCTTCCAAGTTCAGCAGAAGGTGGGCTAGTGCTCGGATCACAGGCCGTTTTTTATAGACTTGCCAGAGCCCTACATCAAGGTTTTGGAAAATCATGGCTGGGTCTGGCCTTGATGTGCAGAGGCCTTTGGTCCTGGGGCCTGGTGGAATGAAGCTGAGGCAGTGGCCATTGGGATGGTAGGAGCTTACTCTTGGGACACTCCTCCTAATTTGGGGGGGTTTCATGTGCCCAGGGAAGGAACAGATTCTTGCAATATCAAGTATAAGCCTGTGGCAAAATAAATGTCTGTAAATACATTTTTAAAGGTGGATTTTGTTTAAAAAATCTGAATGAACACGTCTGTCAGAGGTCATGCTGATGGGGGGGTGTCAGAATGGGTCCCACTCACAAGCCTGGCCTCGGGACCTACAGCTGCCACCGCAGCTCCTAAGCGAACCCAGGAAGGGTCTGCCCGCGTGCTCGGGCAGTATCCGCCTCCTTGGCAGCTTCTCCGGCCTCGCCAGGGGCGATGTTGTACCATCCCTTGTGGGTATGACCGGACACATCCTAAGATGTTGATTCTTACTGTGTTTTATAAAATAGAGTGTAGTTTACAGAAAAACCTTTTGTAAAAGTTAACTACATGCGAAACTGTAGGTAATGAAAATTATGTATTTTTCCCCCATCTTTTTTGTTAACTGATTTGCAATAAAAATGATACTGATGCCATCCAGGTTTTGCTAAACTTGGCCATAGTGTTGACTCCCTTTTAGGAAGGGAGGGAGGGAGGGAGGGACAGGAACCAGGAATCCCTCTGCGTCTTCTGACAGGAGAGTGATGGAGAGACCACCCAGCCCTGGCCTGTGTCCCTGCTATCTCCAGAAGTCCCACAGGTGTCACTGCATCTGCCAGGCCAACCCCCTCCCCCCCACCAGGGAGAGCGGGGACATGGCAGAGAGCATGGCACTTGCAGCCCCATCGAGGGGGACTGGGGTGACATTAGGCTGTAGGTTCTCCCGTCCTTCTGAGCCACAGAGGAGCGAAGGCACCGCTTACCCAGCCTAGGGACGGCAGGCAGGAAACACTGTGGGGTGACGCAGTGAGCTGGGAAGGTTCTGTGAACGCAAGAGGGTGCTGACTCAGTAGCACTGTTTACTTGGGAATACTAAGCAGGACCATGGGCCTCCCCTTCTTCCTCTCCACCTGGCCCTAGCCCCAGGCAGGTGGATTCAAACCAGATTAGCAGCATGTGATGGCCCCTCCTGCTGAGTGGCCTGCCTCCGGTCCCCGGCCTACCTACCCAAGCGTAGGCGCAAGTGTGAGCCCAGGGTTTCCTGACTGCATTTGGATGGCACTGAGATACGTGGATGGGACAAGAGTTTCCAGGAAATGAAATATGGTTACATGGCCCACCTTTCAGAGGGACAGGCTCAGCCTGAATTCTGCCCAAAGCACTCTCAGCACCCAGTAATTCCACTGCTAGGTATACACCCGAAAGAAGTGAAAATGGACTCAAGTCCATGGTCATCCACGTTCACAGCAGCACCATTCACATGGGCCAGGAGGTGGGACCAGCCTTAGTGCCCATCAGCTGATGGTGGATGAACAGAATGTGATCCATCCACACAGTGAGGGTTAATTTTGTGTCAACTTGGCTGGGCCATTTGATCGAACGTGAGGGAGTCTCTGGATGAGATTCACATTTGAACGGGTGGACTGAGCAAAGCAGATGGCCCTCCCCAGTGTGGGTGGGCTTTGTCCAATCAGGTGAAGATCTAAATAGAACAAAAAGGCTAAGTAAGAGGGGGTTCCTCCGGCCGGATCACTTGAGCTTGACATCAGATCAGCCTTTCCTGCCTCTGGATTTGGACTGAAACATCAGCTCTCCTGGGTCTCCAGCTGCTGCCACAGATCTTGGGACTTCTCAGTGTCCATCATTGCGTGGGCCAATTCTTTATAATAAACCTCTTTAGTGTATATATTATGTATACATCCTGTTGGTTCTGTTTCTCTGCAGAACCCAGACTAATACAAAGCAATGTTTTTCAGCCATGAAAAGGCTCCACCTCGAAAACCTTTACATTGTACTATAGCTCTCATCACTCCATTTTAGAGGACAAGTCCCAGAAAAGGGAGTGATCCTCGGTAAGTTACTCACCATTTCCTCGTCTGAAAAATGAAGGAGAAAAGGACACTGACACTCTCCCTGGCCACACCTGGCTGAGGACCTCACAGTCACCAGAGCCCCTGGTGGGTGCAGGGTGAGGCTGACTGGCTATCCTTACCAGCCCTCATAGTGGAGCATTAAATCACTGAGCACAGAGCTTGAAAAGTACCCGTTCTCTGTTCCAGTAAATCAACTTGGAGCATTTACGGAGCACTGGCTTTCAGCAGACCCCCTGCCCCCCATCCCGAGAGAGTCCAGAGATGAATGCTCCCCCAGAGGGCGCAGTTAGGAGGTAATGGGGGAAGGTAAAAACCTTCCTCTGCTGCACTGGGGCCTGATCCTGAACAAGCCTGGGTGTTCCTGATGCCAGCACCCCAGAGCCGCCAACAGCTCGCCCACTCGGAGGTAGTGCTCTGCCTCCCCCTGCTGGCAGTGCCCAGCAAGTGCCCCTCTGGCAAGCAGGTGGTCCTTCCACCTAACCAGGTGAGTCTCCACCTCCTGCAACAGCACTGATATCCCATTGGACAGATGAGGAAACTGAGGCTCAGAGAGGTAGGTGACTTCCCCAAATTCACCCAATTCAAGCCAGGGCCCAGTGACTCCCAGGTTCATATTCTCACAATCATTTGAGGGGTCACCTCCCCTTGGAGGACTGGGAGGGGGGCTATGTCACTCAGCCTGTCACTTTTCAGACAAGAAAACATGCTCAGGAAGGGACTTGCCAAGGTTACTGCCAGGACTTAATGTCACAGCCAGCCTGGCACTTGGCAACCCGCAGATGTTGGCGTTATTCCAGCTCCAACCAGGCCCTTTCCTCTTCCCAAATAAACCACAGCCTCCAAGTCCATGCCTATAACTTAAGTCTCCACTGATGCTCAGGACCCAGCTTCCTCTCCTATTTGTCCTCTGGGCCGATGGGTGTGGAGCACCTGTGCTGGGCTGGGCTGGGGGCTGCGGATGTAGCTGGCAGTAGAGTCCTCCAGGATTTGGCTCTCCCCACCAGTCTGGCCTCTGCAGCCTTGCCACTTGTCGAGGGGCCTCAAGGCCCCTGGCTCCTGGCTCTTGCTAGTGCCTTGCAGAGAGCCTGGGGGAGGCCTAGATGATGGTGGCAGTCCTGGTTGAAAAACCTCTGAAAACTTCCTTTGCTTTCAGAAGTCAAATCCCCTTGCAGGCCTGCAGGGCTCCCGCAGTGCAAACCCATCAGCCATGTCCCACTTTCTGGGTTTCTGCCTCTTGCCACTGCAGAAACTTCTGTTTGCTTTGGCCACAAATGCTCCTCTTCCATCACTGCCCCTATCCCACATCCACAGCAAGTGGGATCCAGGCATTTGCAGCTGTCTGGTGTCCATGCTCCTCAAATATAAAGGCCAGGGCTGTCTGTCCCACAGCCACAGCACCAGTTCTAGGAGTACCTGGCACATGAATGTCTACATAGCTTGGGGAAAGAGCTCTCCGGAGACCCCACAGCAGCTACAAGGCCACCAAGCAGTTTTCCTGCAGCTCCCTGTGGCCCCAGTGGGTGCAGAATCAGCATCTTCCTTCTGCCTCCACTTCATCCCACTGCTTATTTATCTACTTAGATGCTGAGTACTCAGCACAGTGATTCAGAAAGTAAGTCCCCTCAGATGGCTAGGTGCCAGGCCCATTTCCGGAAGAGAGGCTGCAAAGGAGACAGTGCCATGCTCGCACTAATGGCAACGTGGGTGATGGTGACATTTGTCAAGCCTGGCTGTGTCCGAGCTTGCTTGCCTGGTGTGGATTTGCTCTGGCAAGCCCCCAGGAGCCGCGATAGCTTCACGGTGCTGGCCTTCCACCCTGGTCTGCACACTCCTCTCACAGTCAGCCTGGATGCGCACCACAGGTGTCCACACACTGACAGGCCAATGCACGGATCCACAAAACACACTACCCCTAACCCACCTCCACCTCCAGACCAGGGGACCTAGCTCCCACTCCTGCCTCTCCAACCATTCCTGTCCTCAGCTCTTACCGCCTCCTCCAAAGCCCTCCCTGCCAGCTCACCCACTCTGAAACCCTACACGTTTCCGCCTGGACCATTCAGCCTGCCCTGTCTCAGGGAAGCTGCCCCTTCCTCTCCAGGCAGGCCTCCCTCCCACCCCACAGCCTCAGTGCCCAGGAGTGAAGGTACATGTCAGGGGCTGAAGAGAATGCCTGGCATGGAGCAGACCTGCCTCACAAACATCTACAAACCACACTTAATGCAGCTACTTTATGCCAGGAGAGTGAAGGGCAGAAGTGTATGGCCTCTGAGGCTATAGCTCCACCCCTGAGGGCTTCTTGGAGGACTGCCAGGCTGGTGGGTGGTCAAGAGAGAGCCAGCTCCACAACTGAAAGGCTACAAGCCACAGGCTGGGATGCTGAGTGGGGGTCCCTGACCCCCTTCCCCAATGTGCTTGCCATCTAGACCCGCACTGTCCAGTGGAAATACAATGCCAGCCACTATGGAACTTTTAACTTTCAAGTAGCTACATTTTAAGTCAATATATCCAAAATATTATCATTTCAACATGTAATCAAAATTTATTGATGAGATAATGGCACACCAGCATGTGCTCTGTGCTTGGAACCCATCACAGTTCTGGTCAGCCCCGTCAAGTGCTCAGTGGCAGTCTCTTTGGACAGATGGACCAATGGGAGAGGCTGGCTGGTGTAATCATGGAAAGGACAGCCGGGTTCTCTGACATGGCCTCTGCCTGCTTTACTGGCAAGTGTGCAGCCCTGTGTGCTCTGGGTAATGTGACAATAACTGTGTCATAGAATTTTGCATGAGGAGCTACAACTTTGCCCCGATTCAGCTACAACTTTGCAGCTGATTCTAGCCCAGCTAGGAGAGCTTCAGGGAGGTGGTGACATTTCTATTGAGGAATGGACATTGCAGGCAAAGGGAAGGAAGCCTGGTCAAGAATAACAATGGCTCTCATGGCAGCACACCTCCTAGGCACAGGTCCGGGTGTTCTGCATCCATAGTCACCCTACATCCCAGTTTGCCCAAACAGTTCCAGTTCCTGCCTGTTGTCCCAGGATATGTATCAACATATCAACAGCACCCCTTTCCAGTTCCCAAATTGTCCACATGCTCACCTTGCCTGAACTCCAGCCTTTCCTGAGCCCCAGGTTGATGATGAGGGAGGTTAAGGAAGCTGACAAAGGGCACACAGCATCTAGGTAGCAGGCTGGGCTTTAAAATAGAGGCTCTGTGACTCAGAGCCCTGGCCTTCATGGTCCAGAGGCTTTACGGCTAGGCCTTGAGCCCCAGAGCCCTCTCCCCCACACAAGGCTACAAACAGCTGAGAAACTGAGAAGGCCTCCATTCAGAGGCTCAGCAGGAAGAAGGGGGGAGGGGAAGAAAGCCCAAGTAAGGCCCTTGCATGTCAACTTTGGGTCACAGCTTTCCTTAAAGTGACCATGTAGGAGTCAACACAATGCTGCCTCTAACATCCCTGCCTCAGGGTCCTGATGTCTTTCATTTGCCCAGGATGGGTTGGTTTCAGCAGCTTATGGTCTCTCCCAGTTAGATTTTGCCAATGCCAACCACTGGGCTCCTAAGAACACCAGAGGGGCAAGTCTGGGCTCCAGCTCTTGGGCTTTTTGAATTCAAGAGCAAAGAGCAGCCAGCCCAGAGCCTGGGATAGTCAGTGCTTTTCCCTCTGCTTTCCCCTTTCAGGAGGAGGTCTAACAATGACATCTCTCTCTGCCAAGTGGTTTATAGGGACAAAGTCACTGCAGTAACCACCAGGAAGAAGTAGATGGATCAAGGGCATAAGGCCCAAGGCTGAGTTCTACCAGGAGTTCCCCAACTCTGTGTTGAAATAGGCTGGGAACCCAATTTCTGCAAGGCAAATGTTAGCTTAGCAAAGTGGCCACGTCAGATGGGCTGAAACTCTCCCTGCACCCTCCTGGGGCTCTGACAGCGTGGCTGCTCCCTTGCCAGCGACACAGCAAACAAATAGCCAAACCACACTCCTTCCTTCTTCCCTGGCCTCTAGGTCCCACTAGTGACGAGGGTGCCTTCCCATCCCAGGTCGTGCACCTCAGCCACTGTGGCAGTAGCAGCAGCCGCCACTGAGAGCTTGGCTACCAGGCGAGGTCATACAGGTATACTTGCCACCCTTCCTGCCTTCTGGAAGAAGCGGTCAAGTGGGGCGGGCTGCTGCTCTTACCCATCCCTGCCAGGCAGGTGTGCAGGTGAGTGGGCCCGGCCTTCCTTTTCTCATCGGGAAAAGGAAGATACAAATGGCAGCACCCCCTTCTTCCCTAAGATCCTCCATGGGAGGGCTCAGTGGGTGCCTACCGGGTGGGTGCCAGGACGAGGCAGCAGCCATGGGGAGGAGCAGGAGACAGGCCCAGCAGCCTAACCTGTCACACGGTATCTCGGGGGTCCTGCTTATTCAACACAAATATCCATTCAACAAAGGTTGGAGCCTCCGTCCACGGTGCTCCGCGGTTTAGGGGACCCGAATGGGCCCTTGAGCGGTATTAGGGCAGACAGAGGAGCTGAGGACTGCGTGTCCCACGCCCGGCGGAGGGAAAGGACCGGACGGAATGCGTGCATGGGGCAGGCGCAGAGCAGCTGCCGGAGGTGACCGCCGACCGGGGAGGACGCGCTGTGGGCGAAGCGGGCGGCGCGGCTGGGAGCGGACAGGACGACCTCCAGGGCACGCACAGGTCGGCAGTGGGGCTTCCACGACACCTGTGGACGGGGGGCCGGAGGCGCCTGCCCCCTCCAGGGCTCTGTGGAGCAGACGAGCACTGCTTCCCGGGAGCTAGGCGTGGACAGAAACCAACTTCCCAGGCAGAACTGGAAAAGGGAGACGCGAAGAGCCGTAACCAGGCAACTGGAGGGCGCCTCGCGGTGCGCACGCGCACTCAGCCGGGCGATCGGCGCATGCGCAGTCGCCTCCCGCCCGTCTATCAGCCTTCGAGTACAACGATCGAATGGGAGGAATGCGCCTGCGCCTGAGTGCCGCTCGGGTTCTCAGCTCAGCAGTAGCAGTTCTCGGCGGGTGCACCTGCTGGCATCGGTCATTCAGGACTGGTACTTCCCTTGAGTCTGATTGATGAATCCCTACGCTTCTCACATCCTCAAACGAAAAACGGCTGCGAGAAAGAGCCAGCGTAACCGAGGCGACGTATAGAGGCGGCTCCCCGCGCGCCCTGCGGGGCAGGTGGGCTAGGGGCGGGGCCAAGGGATAGGCGTTGAAGGACTGGCCGAGGCGGGGGGCGGGGCCAAGGGACGGGACTAAGGGATGAGGCGTTGAAGGATTGGGCCCCGGCGGGGGTGGGGCTAAGGATGCGGCAGTGAAGGATTGGACGAAGGTAGGGCGGGGCCAAGGATGGGCCTAAGAAGGTTGCGAGTAAGGGGCG